CAAAGGAAAATACTATCTACTAGCATCCAGTGGGGATACATATACCCTACCAAGTATGGGCAAAAGTCTCAGAAAATATGAGCAAAGATTAAATTAATGTTGTCAAAGAGTCTTTGGATCTTTAGCAGTTACACAGGCTGTGTTGATTAACTGCTATTTATGGAAGCTTTTTGTGAACTGTTCTTTTTATTAGTCTTTAATCAGGTCTGTTCCTCAATAAAGCATTGGCAACTTGGAAAAAAGTGATATCACCAGATTCTCCACTGCACACAGAATTGTGTGGAGGGGTCCTTTGTGATATGTGAATGAAACTGGTTGCATTTGGTTGAGAATTTGTTACCGGAAAATCTAATTGATTTTGTAGTCAATATTCCCTGAAAAACAGAAAGGGAACCTACATAAAGGAAGTGTAGGGAGGGATGCAACAGTTCTTAAGGAGCTGTAGGAACTTCGGGCTCAAAGAGCTAAGAGGAAGAAAGATATGGATCATTTTGTCATTAGCACTAATTTATGCCACGTGAACAAGGATTATGTACAGTATCATTTGCCTGCCTAGGAGAACAAACATAATAGCAAATCAATACTTTCTAATCTGCATAAGGAAAATAAGAGGAGGCAAAATTTATTAGTTTTTTATGTGACCTCTGCCTGCCAGGACTTTGGCCTTCAACAACTTCATTTTAGTTCTTTCTCCCAAAAGAATTGCAACTAAGTTCAGAGCTTGAAAATCATTAATTTAGAACACTGCTTTCTTCCAAATCTCTATTACTCACAGGGCAGTAGCCAGGTTCAAGGACTAAGATGAAATTTAATTAGGTAGAGAATCTTGCCAGAAAAGGTAAAGGAGAAGATCTTTTTAGTGAGGTTACCTGTGCCTGTAATTTGTACACTGCACAAAATGAAGCTGTAGAATTCTCATCTCTCAGAGGTATCTGCAAGAATATCTTCTTTGTCTATTGATGTAGAATTTGGTTTTCTTGTAAATATAGAATCTGTACCTGGTGACTGTGAAAACTGGTTTTTGATTCTTCATTTAGGTGAGAGAAGTTTCTAAATTAGTGTGAAAACTTCACTGTATTTTTAACGGGTTAAGAACTGCAGTGATTATGTAACTTATGGTACCTCATTAAGAATGTTTGTCAGAAATCTTTAGAGAGGTCTAATGGGCAAATTAAAATTTTGCTGAGAAGAATAACGAAGTGAAGTAGAAAGAATTACTTAGTCAATGATGTAAAAGTAGAAGATAAAGAGGAGTTACAGTTCTTTATTTTGTAAAATTTTTTAATGTTCTTGAGGTCACTAGTGATCAGATGAGATCGTGATAGTACCAGTACTGCAGAAATAGCAAATCCTAGCAGTAGTTAGCCTGTGCTAGAGACTGTTTACCTACAGTGGGAAAACCTTAAAAGCATTGATAAGAGGGTAAATATTGGTGAGTTTTTAAGTAGAGCTTTTGCTGACATGGGAGTGCTTTTGTATTTTTATGTGCTGACAATGTATTTATTTCTGATTTCCTGGTCTCTGCCTGCTGGAATTTTGATAAGGATCTTATGCTGCATGAAGAGGTCAATGAGACTGCATGTGTTTGTATATTTTTTCAAAGTAGCTTCCAGTGACCATGATTAAATCATATGGGAATGGTTACATTGTCACTTGTATCTTTAGTGCTTAAGCTGCAGAATTTGCAGTAAGGCAACCAAAAATAAGGTCTCTAGAAAATAGTTTCCGGGTGTAGTAAACTTGAAGATTGATTCAAACTTTCTTTCACAGCTGGTCAGGTGAAGGGAAAAGGAGAAATGTTAACTTGAGAACAGCTGTTTTGAACTTGGTTATTGCTATGCCATCTGGAGAGATGGAATGCTGTTTGTTTAATAGCACAGGAGAGATATATGTTTATAAGGAGAAAATACAGCCATGAGGAGGTGATGGAGTTGTGTTTTCTGAGTCCTTTTCCTGCCAGAGTGCCAAGGGAGGCTCTAGCAGTGGTGTGTCTGTCCTCTGGAAAACACTTAGTAGCAGGGGGACTTGTATGTGCTTGGGTGTGCTTTCAGTATTGCATTTCTGTCTGTGTAATGAGCATTATTTAAGAATAAAAAGATGCACCATTGGTACGAGAGGTATATGTATATCAAAATACATCAGAGGACATAAGAGGAATCTTAGAGGCTTTTTTGCCCACCTCTTTTTTTCTAAGTTGCCTTTTTGGTTGTGCTTTTGATTCTCCATAATCTATTCCTTCTGCCCAGATGGTTTTCTTTACCTTGTGTGGTGTTATGTTGTTTTCTTAGGATTTGTTTTAATACAATACTTTGGAAGATGTGCTGTTTTATATGAGGTTAGGTTGTATTTATTAATTCATTACAATCTAATTTAATTTTTTAATTATCAGAACTCATGCATCTGGATTATATTTCACACAGCATGAGAGGTATCTGGTAATTCTGATTAGCAGTTTCATGTGGTAGCATCCAGGTGTGTGCATATTATTTCTTCTCTTGGGGATTTAAAAATTGTAAATGCTGGAAGAAATTATCTGGACTGTACTGTGCATGTCTTAAAAAATCCCTTGGTAGGTGCCATAATACTTTTCTGAGATAATTAAACCTTGAGTAAAGGGTTATTGGCATTCTAGGGATGTTTACATACTGCAGAAGTAGGGATATTTGGGAGAAAGAAAAGCATAGCTTATTAGGCCAATGCTTTCTGTGTAAGCTGCTGCTTCTAGGCATAGTGAACTCGACTTACCTGACGTGTTAAATTGCTTAGTAAAGAAAAAAACCCTGCCTTAGGCTATCTTAGATGAGGTTTTGTCAACGATTTAAGGATTTCTGAAAGACTTTTTTCCTGTAATCCTGTAGAAAGCACCAGGCTTACAGGAACATTTCTGCTTTTGTTAACATGAATCATAGAAACTTGAGAATCTGTTAATTATTCTTCTGTTTGATGATAAGAATTTAATTGAACCCTATCCATGAAAAGCAGTGCATGTCAGAAACAGGCACTTTTCTTACTTTTGAAGAAGTGTGTAAGTTTTTTAGAGAAATGGTCAGGTTTATTGTATTAGCTTGGTAATTTAAAGTAGTAGCTGAATTTGTAAAGTCCTCTGGGACGTACTTCTCCAGCGTGGATCTATTTATTCTTTAGTTCAGGAAATTTTGTACACTCAGGTTGGATAATATAGATACAGTAGATGCAGTGCTGCTGACTCCTAGGAATGTAGTGGTGAATACCTGATTATGTGTTCAGGAGGTCATGAAGTCATTCTAATTAATTTAGGTCATCTTAAATCTTTATCCCTTTGTTCTGAAAGTGAAACTGGTGAGCTGTGAGATCATTGTAGTCAATCAATAGTCAGAGTCCTTGTATGAGGGGGAAAGTCCTCAAGAAATTCAGGGGAAGTATTTCATCACGTTTAAAACACTTTGTGGGTTTTTAGTAATTACTTGCTTTCATTTGAGAAGGAATTAGGTGGAACAGCCTGTAGGTGATGTTTTGATGGGTTTGATTAGCTGCTGACACAGATAAAGGGACTGAGTCATGAATCTTTCTAATCTGTTAAAATCTGCATTTTGTACAAGAACAGAGAAGCTTTAATAGTTTGTTTTCCGTGTCTTCAGAGTCTAGCTTAAATATGGGTCTTTTAAATGGTTTTGAAATTGCAGCTTTCAGCAAGGCAAGAAGAAGAATTTGTTACAGTAACTCCTGAACTTTTGTCTGATAGTTTTCATGAGACATCATAAAGAAAAAGTGTTAAAAAAATCTACATTAAATAATCCGTATAATTATATATGCTTTGCTCTGTTTTGTTAATAAAAAGTACATCGAATAACTGAATCCAAATTTGGTTGATTTTTGCACTAAAATCTTATTTTTTGAAGTACATAGTAGGTCAAATATGATAATGCTTTTTTAAACTTATCTTTCTGTCTTTCCCATCAAAATTGTGATAGCAAAATGACTTTATATAAGATACCAAATTAGGAAAGCATCACCCAAAAAATGAAGTGCACACTTTGAAACACTGACAGTGGAAGTCTGATTTGACTTTGTTGGAAAAGCTCCTCTTGCTGCTTTAACCTTTCAAACAAGCTCTTAAACATACTTGTTTGCAATTTTGCAGAATGTTGAATACAGTTAGCTTTCTATATTAGAGAAACTTGACATTCAGCACTTTAAAGGGCGTGCTCTTTACTACTTAATTTGTGGAACTTAGTAATTGGTACTATGTCTTGCCATCTGTAGAAAAATAGTTTATTTTCCACAAAATATGTGTACCTATTAAAAAAAGAATAGAGAAAGGAATTTTGTAAGTCTAGACTACATAGCTGAAATAATTTTTATTTAAAGTTTATTGCCTGATGTACCATATGTAGTTGAATAAGTCCATTTTTAGCATACTTTTGTGTAAATGTATTTGACTAAAATGTTATGCCTGCTTAACTAGCTTCAGAGACTTGCATTTCAGTAACTTCAAGATGTCTGCAAAAGTGTACTCTGGCCACCTAAATGGAAGATGAAAATATGTTTTTTTATGTTTTTCACATTCTTTCTAATCACTAGTATGATTTAAATTGCATTCATTTGCATATGCTTACAAACCTCTTCTTTTTTGCTTTTTTGTTTTGTTTGTGTGTTTTTTGTTTGTTTTTTGGGGTTTTTAACGATAAGATTTGATATCTTGTTTAAAATGTTAAGGTGTTAGTTTTGTATAAAAGTACATGGAATAGAGAGAATGTTGTTTATAATGCTTATTTATATAAAGTCTGTGGTCTACAATTTAAGTAAGAAACTGTACAAGTAAGGATTGTCTGTGTGGAGAATCTAGCTCTTGTCAAGGCCACTGACCCAACTTGTAGACATTGTTATATTTCATTCTTGAATTTCTATTTAGAGAGAAAGGAAACAGTGACAACTGATGTCTCAAATCAAGTTAATAATACAGAAGGGAGGACATTTTGACAATTACTTCTTTTCACTTCTCTTCTTTTTCACTTTCACAGGCGAAAGAAGTTGGTTTGCTTGATGCAGACATATATGGACCTTCAATTCCAAAGATGATGAACTTAAAAGGAAACCCAGAATTAACACCAAGTAAGTGGAAGGGATTTTTCTTGCTGTCTTTTCTGTACAGGGAGCAGCATGGTCCACTCATGGGTGCTTCCTTGGTGTGTCACAGAAAGGATGCAAACAGAAGGTGAAAATGAGTGTATGTATGTATTTATTTATTTGTTTCTGTTATTGAGGTTACTTTCCAAGCTGCTATGTACAACTAGGAGCATATTCAGAGTCCTATTTTTTGTTAATCTTGGTCCAACTGCATGGATTTTTACTAGAGACTCTAGGGAAGGGAAGGTTATTTATCAGTAGTTTTAAAATTGTTGTGTAGTATCCTACAATAGATAACTTTCAGTTAAAGAACAAAACTCACTAATCTAGGGAAAGAGACAATAAAAAAAAAACAGTAAGAGAAGGATCATTATGGTAGCTTCTTTGAAATGTCATTCAAGTGATTCTGCTTGATTTCTCTTAAGCCAAATGTGCCGTGCCACTTCACTAATTTGTATTTGAAGTTGTGCATTTAGGAACACAGTGGTGGTCACTTCCCTACCAGAAGGTGAAGACAGTAGATAAAACTCCTAATTTTCCTTCTGCTTGGAAGAATTCTGGGGAAGCATAAATTCAGTTAGAGCAGTCTTCAGAGAAATAAGGCCATCCAAAGTAGAAAGATCCCATCAAGTCTCTTTACCTTTCAGAAGTTTAACTTCACCCAGGCCAACCAAGGATGAAAGTGAAGAATGGTTTTGTCTTGATACCCTGTTCATATGATGTTTGAGTGTAAGGCAGTGGGGTTTTTTAGGGTGGTGAGGACACTGGGGTGATATGGTTTTTGTGATACCTTGTTTTGATTATCCTGTGAGAGAGGGCATGTAAGTAAAAAAAAATAAAAACATGTAACCACATACAAAACTAATCACAGACTGTAGCAGCTGGTTGATGCGTTAAAATGTACTTGGATCCTTCTGAAGAAAGTACAGACTGGCCATATGTGTTGTCAGGGAGGGATCAGGGACATCTACCAGTTCAAACAGGACATAGAAGGGCTTCAGTGAAGTCATCAACTGCAATGTTTGTGGGCAGCAATTGCTAGGTAAAAGGAAAGTTAAATATTCCTTCTGCTTCTTTTCATGCCATGATCTCTCTTTTTTTTATCATAGAAATGTTTGGGTTGAAAGGAGCCTTTGAAGGTCATCTAGTCCAACCCCCCTGCAATGAGCAGGGACATCTTCAACTAGATCAGGTTGCTCAGATGTCCTGATCTTGAGTGTTTCATGTCTACTACCACTCTTGGCAACCTGTTTCAGCATTTCACTAGCTTCATTGTAAAAAATTTCTTCGTTATGTCTAGTCTGAACCTACCCTCTTCTAATTTAAAACTACTACTTCTCGTCCTATTGCAACAGGCCCTGCTAAAATACTTGTCCCCATCTTTCTTACAAGTCCCCTCTATGTATTAAAACGTTTCAGTGAGGTCTCCCTGGAGGCTTCCTTTGTCTAGGCTGAACAGCCATGATGCTCTCTGTTTCATCACAGGAGATGTGTTCCATCCTTCTCTATCTACTCTAGTGTTGTTGTAGAATGTTCATTTGTAACTCATCTTAATTTGTCTGTGTATATGGGTATTATGGTTGTTGATCTATATGTTCTCACATGGTATAAAGCATGCAGAATGAAGCAGTGCCAGTATCTTTAAAGGTTTGTTATTAGGCTTGCAGCCTCTGAAGACTTAATGTGCAAACTTAGAATTTCTTATATAATTAAAATTCTATCTCCTTATGATTATGCCATGTACACTGGATAAAGACAAAGTAATGTATTTCCATGTACTGATGCACTACATGTGCCTGTACAGACAGCTATGAAATTGAGTACTTCCTACGTTTAAGAACAGAGCTTACAAATGTAGGTTTTATTTAGATCAATTCCTAAGAGAGGAGGAGAGTACTTAGTTTTATTTATTGGATTTTTGTTATATCTTTTCAAGTCAAAAGGCTGCTGAGTGATAAATAAACAAATAAACTGAGCCTTTTCATGTATCATCAGTAGGATTTGAATTCCTGATACAAATGGAAGTATTCTTGCATTCACTGGTACTTTGAACTCTATTGAGGATGAATGTCATACAGGCTGTGTTTTCCCATAACAGACTTTTTTGCTATGAATTTTGTGTTTGAAGTGCATTGTGCAGTATGAACACAAAAGGGACTATGTTGTGGTGCTCAAATCTCTCTTTTCATGATGTGATGTTGACTTTTGTCTCCCCAATTTTTCCTCACTATCTGAAAAATGGATTAGATAATTTAGAATTCCTTGGTTATTTTGCTATGTATTTTATCAGTCCATACCTAATTTAAGTCTGTGTCTTGAACCACAAATTGCCCAGTCTGTTTCTTACAGTTGTACAAATCAACTTGCTAGGAATGCTAGAACTTAAGACTGCATTCACTCAGATATTGAGCAGCTCAGTTTTGTTTCAGTGACTGGATATTTCTGGTAAACAGCTGAATAGAATTCACTGTAAGCTTTGTCTTAACATGCTTCAAGCATTGTTAGAAGTGTGGAATTCAATGTAACAGAAAAAAATTGGAAGATTTCCCTGAACCGAAACTTCTGCTCTTGTCTTGTAAGCACTGACATTTTGATCACTGAAATATATTCTTTCTACTTCTGTTTGGAATGCACAAGTAAATATCAGAATTTAAAGAACGTACCCTTTTTATAACAGACAGAAAAATGAATTTGTATATTTCAAAAGCTTGACAGATGACACAAGTCTGCTGAGAAAGACAGTAGTTTGGTATGAATAACAAGATAGAATTTGTATTTCAGGGATTCTGTTCACTACTCTGTGTATTTTTAACTATTGAGTTGATGAAACTGATGAGTAACAGCAAGAGAAGTACTGTCAAAGATGGTTTAATTGCAAAGTAGGAATGACATAGGAAACTTTAATTATAAAGTTTAATCAAGGATTCCTTTAATGAGTGACAGATGGGATAAGCTTGCAAAGAAGTGATCAATCATAGGTGTGTGTGTATATATATATGGTACCTATAGAGGTGTATATAAATATATTGATATAAAAACATGTATGACTCTTCTATTTTTCCATAATGAGGTTTAGTGTTATCATCTGATTTGTTACTATATTTTCAAGAGTAAAACAAACTCTGAGGAAATACTGCATACCAACTGAGAGAGCCCAGGCAATTCTGTGTTACAGAAATGCATAAACTATGTCTACATAAGACATTTTTCATAACATAGCACTCAAAAAAAATTTTAAAGTCTTAATGCTTTCTTCAGTGTGAGGCATGGATTTGAAAATGAATCTGTAGAGTAATCCTGGGAGGTTCTGAGCACTTCTGCAATCTTTGATTTCTGTTTCCTCTCTCACATGAAAAGGGATTAAGGATGCCCAGTACCATACAAAATAAGTCCATGCAGGAGTTATTACTTCTGAATAGAAGTTATTATGGTCATGCTATAATTTAAGCATTCAAAATGAATTGAGAGTTCTTAGTGAGGAGTCTGTATAAATGGAAGATACTACATTAATTTAATTTTGCAAACTGTAGTACATTGAAAAGTCTGCTAGCATTTAATAGGCTGTCATTCAAAATACTTTAAATGGTCAGGGAAATGTTGGTTAATAAGTTCACCACTGAATTTAATTAGCTAATGGAGGATTATGTAACTATGGAATTAATATTACCATCAGCTACAATATATATACAAGGCAGTGCTAATAGCATAAGTCACAAAAGTATTACTTTTATTCTTTCCCTAAGTAATTTAGTTAAAGCAGTTTTCTTGGTTACTGAATCACATTATTTCATTTTTTTCCTTTTAAATCTGCCATTTAAACTAGATGTCAGAGAGTAAAAACTATTATATTGCCAAAAACATTTGCCATTTTGCCAGATAGATAAAGTTTCTTTATTTAGTTTGATTACGAAGGTTTTGGTGAGTAAATCTTTGACAGGTGACTCTACTCTTAGTATTTCAAAACTTTATTGCCATTTTATGATAGCTTCAGTGTCTTTCATTTCTTAATAAAATAGTATATTCAAAAGATCAGTCGTAGACATCTGTTTTCACAATTTAGAATGAAATGTAATTTCTTAGAGAAAGCTAACAGTGTTTGTGGCTGCCCCATATAATCAAATAAAATTGCAGGAACTATAGAAATGGGCATCTGTATTTTTTCACTGGGGTACATTTGCATATCTTTAAGACTGTGATAGCAGACTCTCATAACAGAATGTGAAAATTTAAAATAGTTTTGACTGTTTAAAGATGTCTGCTGGAATAGTATTAAGGGATTGTGGCGCATTCATTTGAGAGTCATAAATAGAAAATTGGGAGTGAACTAGTGACATAGACAAAATATTATGTAGCATAATGATTTTGAAGAAATTTATTGATGTTTGCTAAGGATTTAACTTTACAAGTAAAGCTTGAAGTCTTGAAGTTGTATTTGTCATGCTTTATCAGTGGAACAGCATCATGATAAATTTTTAAAAAACCCTACATTTGATTCTTTAAAAAAAAGTATTTGTGGCTGATACCAGCTCTTGATTGGTGAGCAAGTGGTTTTTAGGTTGTCTGTAGTCTAATGATGTGTTTTATTGATTGTATTTTGAAAGTAGCCTGAACTGAAAACCCTTGTTTTACTTTTGATGATGTCTTACCCCAATTTATCTGGATGGTGGAAGTACAAGAGTCCCAATGTGTACAATGTGACAAAATAATTAATGAAAGTGTTGTAATTTATTGTGGTTTGTATTTTGGAGGCTTTTTCAAATGTGATCAAGTAGTTGAAAATGAGAAGACTACTTGAATGTTTAATATTCTATTCTGGACTTTGGCTATTGCCCTCAAACCTGTAACAATAAACCTCAAGGTGGATTAGTCCAGCTATTGTTGAGCTCACTTGTGGAGAAAATCAAAGACCTTGGAAGGGAAAGGAGATGGCAGATACACAATTCTGCAAGTAATTATTTATAGGCATACAGCTGTTAGCTGCTGTT